CATTTTACCATAATTAAAATAAAAAGATTTTAAAGTGCCACAGGGTGTTTCAAATAGTTATTTTTATAAGTGCCACTACAACATGAAAGGAAACAAAATCAGCTAAGCCTGTCACTCTTCTTAATGCTCCATGTAGAACCCTATAGTATAATGAGGGCAGATAACAGGGTTTCCCATTCTCTCTCAGGCTGGGGTCCTTCATGACTCGGTCAACTACTTAAACAAGCCTGTTCCCCATTTCCAAAGTGAAAACAATGACAACCAACAAACAGGTTGCCATGGATACTCAATGAGATAATCTTGCTCCTAGTACATTTTCAACCTCCCTTTCCCTTCCTTCTCCCAGTAGGTCAGAAAAACAATGACTACTGTCGTTTCCATGATGCCAGGATGAAGCAGATAAAAACACTCCCATTGTAGAGATGAGAAAACCAAGGAGACCCTGAGGCCCTGAAGGTCAGGAAGGACGCAGGGCCAGTTTCCTGACATCGAGGCCCTGATGAAACGTGTCCACTGTGACCGACGGCTGGTCAGGGCTCCAACAGGAGTGCTTTGGACGCAGTGAGGGGGAACAAAGAGCTATTGAAAACATCTGGGCTGAGGTTTTCCAACTGGTTTCTCAATTTGGCCTGGTTTCCAAGCCATCAAGCTCCACTGAAACATATGCTCCCTACCCGATTGCTGTTTCAACAACAAACCAATGTTTGTCTTGCTAAGTAGCAGCAAGGACAAGACCCTCCACGGTGGACGCGGCCTCTTCCCGGGAACGTTCTGAAGCAAAGCTGCTGACGGGACAGAGGCGGTGGAGAGAAGCAGCGCCCTTATCCCGCCTGCAATGAGAGGAACCGCCCTTGCGAAGGGGACGGGGAGCCAGATAGCACACGGCTAGAGCCAGCGTGAAAAGCTAAAAAATTTACACCAGGGTCTGCTTAACTTCTCATAGGAATGTTTGCAATTAGCCCCTGGAGTGTTCATGGGAACTAACTTAACCTCAAAGAACTGCTTTCTTTCTTTTTTAATGTTTTATTGATTTCAGAGGAGGAAGGGAGAGGGAGAGATAGAAACATCATTGATGAGAGAGAACCATTGACTGGCTGCCTCCCGCACGCCCCACACGGGGGATTGAGCCCACCACCTGGATATGTGCTCTGACTGGGAATCGAACCGTGACCTCCTGATTCATGGGTCGCCGCTCAATCACTGAGCCACACTGGCCAGGCAGAACTGATTTCTTAAAAAGCTTCAATTCACCCCCAATTATTCTACTCTTTGCACATTCTCACCAGTTATTTTTTTCTTAGATGGTGGAAATACAAGCTTCTCTGTAGTCCAAGACAGCATCACCATGCATGTATTCTCATGTGGCCTGAATTCATTACAATTTCTTTCCTGTTTACTGAGTGCCCATCAACTAGACTGTCCTGATTCCAGTGGCCAGCTCTGGCTCTGCCCATTGGAGGCAGATCTAGGCTCAAAATACCAACTTCTGCGCATGGGCCAAGAAATTTGAATACCACTGTACATCCGCGCCTGCATGTGGTATTTTGTGGAAGAGCCACACTCAAGGGGCCAAAGAGCCGCATGTGGCTCTCGAGCTGCAGTTTGCTGACCACTGGCCCAGGGGAACACACCCACAGCCTCGATGCAATCTCTGGTCACTATGCCATGTACTGTTGCCACCTGTTCTTAATAATCTCCCAAATTGACATGAATCAATATTGACTAAGTTTCCACTATGAACCCAGTGCTAAAAATCCTAACTGATTAAATCAGTGTTTCTCAACCGTGGCTGCACATTAGAATCACCTGGGAATCTTTTTAAAATCCTGATTTCTGGGCCTCATCCTCCAGAAATTCTGTTTCTTTGTTATGGGGTGGGGCCACAACATTAGTAACAAAGACACAATTTCCAGAGGATGAGGCCCAGAAATCAGGATTTTAAAAAGATTCCCAGGTGATTCTAATGTGCAGCCAAGGTTGAGAAAGACTGGATTAAATCAAATATTTATATTTAAAAGGTCTCCCATCATATAAATCAATTTACCACTTTATATGGATAGCATGTTAAATTATTATAGCATCTGTTTCTCCCTTCCTCTCTTTAATACTTCTTTCCTATGTCTTGATGGTTTCAATATGCAAACAGATTACCTTTCCAGTACTTTTGGACTCATTGTCACTCAACCTCCTCTCTCCAGTGACTTTCCTCCACCCTATGTCAGCTACTATCCCATGGCCATAGACCTTGTCATTACCAATAACCATACCCCCCATCTCCATTTGTATCCTTGTGCCCTGTGCCCATGTCCCTACCCCATCTCTCTAGCAGACTTTTTCTAGTATTGCAGTCTCTGCAGAGACCCACAATCCACTGATCCCAGCTTGTGACTATCCGTCACTCCTCCATGCAGTGCCTTCCATGGACCATGATTTGAATTCCTCTACTCCTTTGAACTTTTCTTCCGTCATCAAACCTGAATGACAAAATTCAGATTTTGTCTGGCTCAGGCCAGATCACCACCTCTCCAGCCACCCCTTGCCCACTCCTGGGCAGATGAAAGTGGAGGGGGGACCACACCCATTTTGTCTGATGACAGGTAAATTTTAAGTTTGGGTAGAAATAAAATAAAGTTATCACTGTAAAAAACAAACAAACCCCACAGTCATTAGAAAGTACTTGTTATAAATATTTAGGCTTAGCTTGGCTGGTGTTGCTCAGTAGTTGAGCGTTGACTCATGTACCAAGAGGTTACGAGTTCAATTCTCAGTCAGGGCACATGACCAGGTTGCAGGCTTAATCCCCAGTAGGGGGCATGCAGGGGGCAGCGGATGGATGTTGTTATTCTTATCAATATTTCTATCTCTCTCTCCCTCTCCCTTCCTCTATTTCTAAAATCAATTTTAAAAAAACCATCGAAAATAATAAAATATTTAGGCTTAGACAGCCTGGAATAGAAAACAAAGTTGATGTTACCCCCAGATCACTCAACTAGCAGAATAAACAGAGATGTGTGACTATGAAGAAGTGTCTGGAGTTTTGTAAAGAAGACAGGAAATGGGTTTAAGAGCTCAGCACTTGCTAACTCGTTCCTCCTAGAAACCCAGAGTCAGCATCAGAGAACCCAGAGTTAGTTAGGTCAGCAGCAGGACTGTACTCAGGTTCTAGGCTCCAACACCTGCCCTCCCTCAAAGCTCTTCCCCCTTCCCCATTCTATATAATAAAGAGGTAATATGCAAATTAATCCTCACGCCCTCACAATGGCTGCCTATGACCAGGCCAGCAGGGGGGTTAGTGAGGGACGACCAAACAACTGAACAGCAGGCTGTGTGGGGTGACCAGGCTGGTGGGGGCGGGGTGACCAGGCTAGAGGGAGGGGCAGTTGGAGGTGACCGGGCCAGTAAGGGGGGCAGTTGGGGGTGATCAGGCAGGCAATGTACAAGCTGGGCTGAGGGGACAACCTCGCCCTCACCCTCCCCCCCAGTGCATGAATTTCATGCACCGGGCCTCTAGTTAGTGATTAACCCAAAGCAACTATGTTTCTGCTATGGCCAAGCTCAAAATAGCACCTGAGTGTTGAACTAGGAACATGAGCGTGTGGAGTCAGAATGTGGCCTCTGGCAGCCTTTGTGAGAAAGAGCAGAAGGAAGTCCTGGGAAGGTTGGTGGGGAGAAGGCACCAGATCTGCTGACCGCCGCAGCCCCAGCCAGGCCACATGCTGGGGGAGAGGAGCACAGACTGACTCAGCCCCTGCCTCAGGCACCCACCAGTTTGGTTCACCGAGGACACCAGACTTTGCGCACTAAAACTGGGGAATCTGGCATGCAGCCCTGCTGGTCACTGTAGGGTTCCCCAGCACCTCGCCACTCCCACCTTCTTGCACAAACGCAGAAGGCTGCCCAGATGGAATGATCAGGAATTCGGACTTGCCAGAGACTGCAGATTCCTTTCCCAGGCTAACCGCAGGCAGCCCATCCCGGGGTTTCCAGGGGACGCGCACTAGTTCCAAAGCACAGAGTGTTACCTTCCCCTTTGCCGTAGGAGGAGCTGGGCGTCCAGGACTTGGCCTCCACGTATCCCAGCTCCCGGCAGACGACGTGGGCAGCGTGGATGGAGAAGTCATCGTCGCACACGGTGCCCCACTGGCCCTGATAGTACACCTCCACCCGCCCCTCACTGTGCTTCCTCTTCTGCCCCGCCAGGCGCAGCTGGACCTTGGCGACATCGGAGGGCACCTGAGGCCGGTGGTACTCGGGCGCGGGCTGCTGGAAATACTCCGGGTAGTGGGGCCAGCTCTCGTACTGCGCCAGGCTCCGCAAGGGGAGGAGGGAGAGCACAGCCAGGCAGCTGCAGAGGCAGGGGCCTCCCAGCCTCGCCATGCCTACCCTCTGGCTGGACAGCCTCTCGGAGCGGGGAAGGCAGTGGGTGCTTCGGGCTACAGGCAGGAGCCTCCTAGAAGAGAGGAGAGATGCGGGTTACAGAAATCTCCAGAATCTCCAGGGACTTCCTACTCCAGTGATGGCGAACCTATGACACGCGTGTCAGAGGTGACAGGCAAACTCATTCTTTTGGTTGATTTTTCTTTGTTAAATGGCATTTAAATATATAAAATAAATATCAAAAATATAAATCTTTGTTTTACTATGGTTGCAAATATCAAAACATT